GGGAAGGCAGAAATTCCTCTGAGGCAGAAATTCCTCTGAGGCTTTGTCAATGCTGAGAAAGGTAGCGGGTTACTTCATGTGTCTTGCAAGCTAACTTCTGTTCAGATGTCTCGGTGTACACAGTGTGTGCGTTCTTTATGACAGCACGCCATCATTGTGCCATTACAAGACCAGATGATCTTCCCTAGGGATGCTACCCAGCCGGTCGTTCCTCATCCACTATGTGTGACATTGGCTATTTCTGCTGAAGTGCCTTCAGCGTACTCATATTGAAATGATCTTTTCTGGGGACAAGCACTCCAAGTTTTCAGGATTGTTTTGAATTTAATCCTGCCTTCCATTGCACTTGCAAATCTTTTCAGCTTTATATGAGCTGCTAATTTAATAGCACACTATTTCATTATCCTGGCTAATGAAAATATGGAAAGATACTATGTACAAAACAGAGGTCCAAGAAAGACCTCCTTTTGTACATCCTTCCGCTTCTGTAGAAGCTTAATCAATGTCACATATCTCTCAGCCATTAGATTATGCTGAGGTGGTACCAAAAGCCTTACTAAAGTCCAGCTGTAACATTCACTACTTCTTCTGTGTCTACATGCCGTTATCCCATCAGCAAAGAAAATTAGATTGATCTGACACTGTTTCTCCTTGATAAATCCAGTGAGGATCTTACTCATATTTACTTTTGAAAGGTGCTTTTATCAAGTTTTACTAACTATTGCAGGATTTTTCTAGGAATTGATGTTTAACAATTCCCCAAATTTCCTTTCTTCACCATGTTGAAGAGACATGAATACAGCAGTTCCCTCCTGTCTTTCAGTGTCTCCCCTGCTTTCTGTGTCCTCCAGGGCAGCTTCTGCCCTTCCTGAAGTTACTTCAGATACTTCTGGATGAAATCACCTTTGCTAGAGAACAGGACAATTTGCAAAGATCCTTTAAGGGCTCTGTTGTAATTCATGGTGGTGGGAGGTGTGGAATAAAACCTTTAAAAACTAATCAGAAATAGTAGAATAATAAAGAACCTGATCTTAGGTATGATGAAACATTAACACCAGTGTCAACAGTTACCAGTGTTACTGTACTGTCTTTGAGTACAGTAACAATAACTTAAGTAAAACTTTTCATGCCCTGTGAAATGGGCAGTATTTTCCTCATTTAACAGATGGGGAAAGTCAAAGACCTGAGTAGGTGACGGGCTCTCTTTTTTGAGAGAAAAATACACAGCGACTTGTTCTCAGGGTGCCCCACTGAAATTGTCCGGCTGCACCTAGCAAAAGGGTTTCTAGGTCTCATCCTGAATAAGTTCCTTAAGCCATACTGCCAGTCAGTTACAAACCCAGAAACAAAAACCAGACCTAGCATCCAGCTCCCAAACCAGTGCAGAGAGCAAAAACTCACCATCTTTACATGAGGAAAAACAGCTTCACGGGCCTTTGCATATAGGAAAACTTACTAAAGCTACCATAAGGAAAAAGCAGAAGAATATATCACATACAAAGCATGCAAGAGGCCCAGAGGAAGGGCCTGAGCCAATTTCACAGTATGCAAAAAGGGAGCATTTTTCCAGCCTGGGGAGGCAGGAAACACTGATGGAGAAAAGAGATTCAGATGCTGGGAAAATTCTTCTAGTGGCAGGGCCAAAGAAAGACCATGTATCTATTTAAGAGCAGGCTGGAGATGGTTAGGAACTGCTTAGGTGTACTACATCTGATCTTGTGGCCAGGAGGATTATCATCAGGTCCTTTCCCCCTCTTTTCCATAATTCTAGAAGGCAGTACTATTAAATCCCTTTTTAGGTGGGAAGACTTTCCGGATGCTTTGCTTTTACACCAAGTCAATGATGGAAAGACTTTCTCTGAATGAAGCAGCCAAATTTTTCAAGAAAATGCAGCAAAAATGATGTGACTTTTTCTATAGTTACTGAGGCTGATTAAAACTCCTGTCTAAATGTTTTCTAACACCATTAAGTCCCCTTCTTTTTTAGACAAGTAATAATCTGAAAGCAGAAATGTTTTGGCCAACCTCTCTGTATGAGTTGCCTGAAGTGTTCAGCCTGCTGTGGTACCTCACTCAATGCATACCCTCCTCTCCTCCAGCCCTATTCCCTATCGGCATATAGGTGCCTACCCAAAATACATTTCCCAGGATGTACTAAGGGCAGGGGAGTCCCTTGAAGCATCCAGCCACTTTCCCAGTACGACCAGAATATACTGGGGCAGATGGTGCCTACCCAGGGAGCACTGCTAGGAAGGGGAACAGAAGAAGGAAGCAACCAAGTTGTATCGCATTCAACGGAGGTACCAGAGCTGCATTTCGCTCTCCTGTCCTATCATTTCTACATATTTCTTCAAGAAGTGTGATACTTTCAGTGGAAAGGCTTAATGGAAAATATTTTTTTGGTTTTGTTACTGAAAGAGCATCCATTTTCTGACCGGTTTTGGCTACTAACATAGCAATCTCGATCATGCAGGTGGTACACACGCAGGAGTGATCAGAAATGACTATTCAATGTGCAGCCACCTCATTTCCCTCAGAAAAGAGAGGCAAATAACTTTGAAAGATTAGACACCTGACCACACATTTAACTTGCATGAAAAAGTCCATTTCTTCAAGAAAATCTCCTATACATTTGGCAGCAGGCATTTCTCATGTTAAAGATGCTGCCTCGACCTATAAGGCCAAGAAGACACAGAGGAAGTTCTCATGGCTCTCTCCCGCTACCTTCCCAGATGGCAAACCGAGCTAGCAGGGTCTGGGGTTGAGCTGCTGAAAGGAAACCACAATCTTCCTCCTACAGGTGAAGCTGATCCCGGCTTAATTTCTGCTCCGAAGAGGGCTGGTCACCGAATTGGCCGCAAGAACTGACATTACCCCTGCTCCACCCCACGGCCATCAGCTCCTCCGCGCTTTCCCTTTCCCGCTTGTGAAAAGGAAGAGACACAGATGGCCTGTCAGTGTTTTCAAGAGTTAGTCGAGAGAGCAGCTCGTCAGTGAAACCCCAGAGGCGGCCGTCTGGGCTAGCAGGCAGCGGCCTGCCTGCGTGCAGTCACCAGCCCTCCCTGCCAGGCCTGGCCTGGCCCGCGCAGTTTTAATGCTCTGCACGCTTCATTTTTAGCTTGCGGTTTACAGAGGTGCGGACAGCCTGGTTCGGTCCTGAGTCGAGCTCAGGTGGATGCTTTTAGCTGGAGGGACACCTCAGGGAGAGCAACTGGTGTGGGAGGCAGGTTTTTTGGTGTCTCCCCACTGAACAAACATGCCGGGGAGACGCTCGGTGGTCCCAGCAATGGGGCTGGTGCAGCTTTCCTCCCTTTGGGAGGAAAAAAAAGCACCATTTATCTTGTGCAAGGCAACTTCAATGCAATGTGCAGTCAGTTGAGGAATTTAGAGCCTTGCTGGGTCAATAGGTTGGAAAAGGCAGTCAACACTCACACCCGACATTTAAAAAACACCAGTGTAAAAATCCTACAGGCGAGCCGGCTCGCAATGGGGCTGGTGCAGCTTTCCTCCCTTTGGGAGGAAAAAAAAGCACCATTTATCTTGTGCAAGGCAACTTCAATGCAATGTGCAGTCAGTTGAGGAATTTAGAGCCTTGCTGGGTCAATAGGTTGGAAAAGGCAGTCAACACTCACACCCGACATTTAAAAAACACCAGTGTAAAAATCCTACAGGCGAGCCGGCTCACCGGTTTCCTGTGCCATCAAAACTGTAGCTGCCTACAGATCTCGCCACTGAAAACCACCACTTCCCTCTCGCTCTGGCAGCTGCTCGGTCACTACTGGCGTGGCTGCCGGCCCAGACAAGGCCAGTCCCTGACAGCCATTTCTGCTTTTCACGACTCGCTCTCATTTTCCGGCGGGTGGCTGAACCCTGGCAGGGGCTGCACAAGCCTCACTGCCCCGAGTTCGCTCCCGTTTTGGTTCACCCTGCCTCGCCAGTGCCAAAATCTGCAGGGGCACTGTGGACAGCTCAGCAGTGAGGCAAAAAAATGTTTTTATCAAGCTTAGGATTATTGTTTCTAATTGTGTTCCTTGAGCCACAGTGAAAATAATTTTGGGCTGAAAGGAAATGTTTCCTTCTGAAAGATGCAGAACTGTGACAGAGTTTATGTTTACAGCACAAAAGTGCTCTGAAAAGCTAAAAGAAGACAAAATAAGACGTTTGATCATAATGCATAAGACGTATCCATCATTTAACATTTGCTCACATAAAAAATATAAGCTACCACATCTCTTGAGGTATACAGAGTCTCATGCCAAGGGCATTTCTGGTGCTGAGATACTCACAGTTCATGTTGACTTTGATGTTACTGGTCTTGCTTTGGGAACCACTTAGTCAGCTGAGGCTATAGGATACCCCCAGCTATAGCTGCTGTGGAGATCACCACAGTCACCAAAGTCACACGAGAGGGGGGTTGTCAAAACACCCTCGCCCCACTTTAGTACGGGTCGTGCAGACGCGTGGGCTCACAAAAAGGAAAGGAAATGTGAGGAAACAGCTCTTGCAACTTGGTTATCCAGAGATAATCATCCAGACCACAAAGCTCTCTGCCCAAGTATGGACCAACTATCCTTAAGAATAGTTTCCCAGGCAATGAAAGAAATGAGGAGACCCTGGGCGAGCCTGAGGGAAACCGTGCCTTCCTGCAGTTAAGCAAAATGCATCCTAAACCCTAACGAATACTAGGACCCCACAACACCTTGTTTCCAGCTCCCAGACCTACAGAGGTTAAAGCCAGCTTTTCAGACGCCATTCCCCGCAGAGCAAAAACATGAACTTTGGGAAGCAGCCACTCAAAAACAAAATCATAAAATAACTCCAGACCCCAAGATGGCCTTGCAAAATCTTCTGTGATTATTTCACCAAAGACTACGAGTATTTTGCAGTACAGCTGTTGAAATAGATAAAGGAGTGATTTATGATGTGCATAGGAATTCTCAGCTCACCGGTGGAGTAACAAATGAACTAGTCCAGCAGGCAAACAAAACCTGAATACATACCGAGGCAGGTGTGTCCTTTGTACAGCCCGGAGGGGAGCGAAGAGGGTGGTGGGTCGTTTCCACGGGGGAGAGGGGAGGAAGAGGCAGCCTTCAGCAGAAGCAGAAGCCAGAGGATGCAGAATAAATTAAGGAACGTTTGCCTAGACCCCCTCATCCTAAGGAAGGAAGAAAAGGACGAAATCAGGTGGGAAGCGTGCACCTGTATTCCCTTAATGCTCAGGGAGCATCCTGCATCCTTGTCTCATTAGCAGCTTGAGGTGAAAGGAGCCTTGCGCGCCTATGTAGCTATATGTAACGCAGGGACTGCTTCCCAGGAGGGGACACAGGCGTCTGCCCTCTCATGGGGTGCATGAAGGATCCCACTTTCGCGCATCACAGGTGCTGTCCCGGCCCCTGCCCTTCGCACACCCCTCAGCCCCTCTCAGGCCATCGGGGGTGGCTGTGCAACCACCCACCGCAACCCGGCGAGTCCCATGCATGTGGGCACCCCGTGACCGGGCTGGGAGGATGCCCCCACGGCCCTGGGCTGCTCTCTGCACGCCCACGC